CCTCCTTTGCCCCCTCCTCCTTCTCATCCTCACCCTCCTTTTCCTTCCCCGCCTCCTCCTTCTCATCCTCCTCATCCTGGAGATAACTTCACTAAAGTGGAAGCACAATTTCTCCACCTTCTAGGAGGAAATTTAAAGACAACATAGCGACAAAGTCACACATTTTACCAGCCTCCTCTCCTTAAAGAGTGATTAAATGTGCCAATCTCCTTTTTTTTATATTTTGACCTTGAAAAAATTACAGATGTCCTGCGATGGGCGCAATCTGTTACACCTCTGATTGGTTGTTTACATTAGTCCGAAAAAAAAAAAAAATTTCCAGTAATTTAATAATCCTGCTAGTTGCCTACCCAACTGGCCAACTGTCGCGACACCCCCATCCCCTCCGCCCTCGTCACCGTCTCCTTTGCATTGTCCTCTTTCTTGTCCACTTTGTAGATTTGTACAGAAGATGTGTGCTATGCGAGGCTTTCGTAAGGCCTCTCCAATGCTTTCCAAAGGCTCTGCCAACCAACTTCAGTACAATCCATTGAAAAAACTCACCGAGGTGGATCAACAACCACCCTCTCATCATCATCCTCAACAACAACAACAACAACAGCACCACCAACAACAACAACAACAAGACCAACATCAACAACCGCTTCTACCAACCCTTCCAACACCACAGAAATATCGTGTCAGTCCAATGGATCTCATGCGACCAGTGAAAACGAAAGCAGAAACAGTTTCCGTAAGTCAAATCGCACTGACACAAGATTGCCGTGTACACAGGAAACAACGGTTTCAACAGAGAAGGATGAAATTGGTTGAGACGCCTTCATGTACCACAAAAGTCACTGTTGCAGCACGAGTTAGGCTATTTTAGACTGTCAATTGGAATGGGAGAACTTGTCACGACAGTTTGACTGATGACAAGAAGTTTGTGCAGTGGGACTGTGGGCTAGTGGAGGGGTTGTTGAATGGCCACACGGAGGCGGAGGTTCCGCGATGGGAGACGAGTACGGAGGCGCAATTTACTCGTCCACATGCATTAGGCAAATGAGAGTCGAATTTTTATGACTCTCCATTTTGTTGTTTCCCCGAGTGTTGATTATAATGCTGACTAATTTGGAATGCAAAAATGACATTTTTTTTGTTTTTGTAGTTTTTTACAATTAGACAATTGAATGAGAGAGTTTGCATCATCACTACTTTCCACTTAGGCTTCCTATGCGTTGCCACTACAATTGTCTCCTCCTCCTCCTCCTCCTCCTCCTCCTCCTCCTTCTCTTCATCCTCCTTTGACTCCTCCTCCTCCTCCTCCTCCTTCTCTTCATCCTCCTTTGACTTCTCCTCCTCCTCCTTCTCTTCATCCTCCTTTGACTCCTCCTCCTCCTCCTTCTCTTC